ATGTCATAAATTTCTTTTTTTTTTATTACAATATCCTTTCTTATTTTAATGACGTACATACCTATGTCATTATAATAACGTTAAGAAGAACAAGTTTGAGTGGAACACTTTTTTTAAACAATTATTAAACAGGGTAACTAATAGTAAATAATTTTTTTTTACTTATATATATTTTGTTTTAGGTGCCCTAAAAAACCTAACGTACTTTTTAAACAGCACCGTTGAAAACATTCAATTATCGGGTGGACAAAAAAAAATTCAGTCAACTCTAAATTAGGATTTCTCTAAAACTATAAATACTTTTTATTTCAAACTTTTTTTCAATTAAAAGTTACTTCCTTATCTTTGATTGCGTTATAAAACTTTTGTTTCGAAAGAAAATGCGGAGGTGGAAGAAAGAAAATTTTCCATAAATAGTATTTAACTTCTGTGTATTTATTAAATACACAGAAGTTAAAAATAAAGTTCAATAGCAAAAAATCACAATCAATCTCAGAGAGATCTAGTAAAAAAATTCAAGATTTCACGTTCTTTTATCAAAGGTTAAAAATTAAAAAAAGCAAGTAAAAATGCTGAAATTAAAGCATTTCATAGAAAAATACATCTAAGAGAAGTTTAGATGGTAAAGTTAAAGGAATTTGACGCACAAAGGTGGTGAAAATAATGGCGGATAAAAGTATGTGCATAATTGAAGACAACAAATCATATTGCATGCCAAATTTTTCAAGACTTTCTGGTCAACAATTTTACTATCAGAGCAAAAGTAAACCTATAAATGATCATTTTAAATATATTTGAAAATATTTGAAAAGTTACGTACACTTATAGAAGTGTACGTAATTCGAATTTTAACTACATTTAAACTGAACCCATTGCAACCAGTTGTTCCACGTTGAAAAAAAAAAAGATATTGCGAAATATCCATTTAACTTAACCTAAATTTCAATTCATGTTAAAAATTTTACAAAATACCTTAGGAAAAAAAAATCTTCTAATAATTCTTAAATTTTTTGCTCGGATAATTATCCGCGCAGAAAAGCTTGTTTTAAAACATTATCAATGTTAAGTTTCATGAATAAGTTAAGTTATTCTCATTCCAACACTTTTCAGATATTCTTTCTCGATACATTCATTCCAATTAATTTAATGTTGTGAAATTGCATATAATTCTTTTCCTCTTTAATTCCTTTGAGAATTAAATTCTATATAGAAAATTCGTTTTGATTTCGAAACAAATGAAAAACTTTTTTATTTTATTTAAAAATAAGTAATTGTAAAGTACGTACGTTTTTTTATCGTTAACCCTCCACCCCCATTTGCCATACTTTTATAATTGACCGACTGAACCCCTTATCTCAGAAACGCCATTTGCAGACCCCCTCTTCCACTCCGAGCGTACGTACTTTATGAACAATCCCTAACACACATCTTAGAGTAAAATCATCATATCTTGTTTTTTAATGCATGATTTAGGGTCTCAAGGCAAAAAAAAAAGCTGAAAAAAAATTGTAAAAGAATACAAGAACAAACACTGAAAGAGTGTGACTTCGATAAAGTTGAAAAAAAAAGCATCTAATAACTCTACGTCCGACGAAGTAGTCAAGGTGTAGGCTAACAGCTTTTTTTTTTATTCACAATCTTACACTCATAATTTCATTTCAAAACTGTAAAAAAAATTCTTTTTTTTTACACAGGGGCCATACTACCTACAGCGTTGATGAACCCTTGAGTTTAAGAAAGCCATCTTCCTTTTCAAATTTTTGAACGGTCTCTGAAAAAGAAGATGATATTCAGGTTAGCTTGGGACGCATTCTTATTATATCAAAAACCTACAGATATTAAAAGTATATCATTAAATATCTGTAGGTTCTTAAAACATATATATTTTCTGGAGATTCTAAAAACATATCATTTATTATCTGCAGATTCTAAAAACATATTATTTTATATCTGCAGATATTAAATACTTACCTCAATTCTTAAATGCTTTATTTAATCTAGGATCAAGAAGCGATTCAACTGGGTTATCAAGCAGTTAGAAACAACCCCGCTTTGTGAAAGAGGGTTTTATCCAAAGTCGAACGCAAATTAGACATACTAATGGGCTACCTCAAAATTTGGCGCTTTTTCCTAGAGATTCTACAAACAAAAAAGTTTCTTCCTCTGTTTTTTTCGAAACTTCTCTCAACTGAGAGAGGATTAACAGAGACTGGCTTATCTGGAATGGAACTGCAAAAGTTTTTGTTTGTTTTCCCTGCTCTATTTTTGGACAAAAGCATAATTTTGGTCCAGGATTTTAGTCTTTCCTCTTGATGTGAAATGGTGGAATAAAATATAATTGGCGAAAGCTAGGAGAAAAGATTAAAAGCCACCAGTGTAATGTCCAACACAGAAATTATTACATCGTCTAGAAATCAGCCTTTGAAGCCTTGAATAACCAGACCGGGATCAATTCAGAACATATAAAGTCAATAAGCAATGATCTATGTGGTATGAAATT